GGCCCCCCGGAGGCCCTGACGCCCCGTTCCCCCCCCTCAGGACAGCGAGTTCTCGGACGCGGAGGCGGGCCCGGGCGGGGAGGAGAACGCCCCGGTTTACGCCCCCTGCCGCAAGCCCGACATCAACTGCTTCATGATGTGAGTGGCCGGGCGGGGGCCGGGACCCCTGGGCCCCCCTCCCGGCTCCTGGGTCCCCTCCCTGGGCTCCTGGGTGCTCCCCGATGCCTGGGTGCCTCCTTATGGGGCTTCCCCGGGCTCCAGGGTCCCCCCCAGGCTCCTGGGTGCCCCTCCAGGGTCCTGGGTCCCCTTCCCAGACCTCTGGCTGCCCCGCAGCTCCTGGTGCCTCCTTATGGGGCTTCCTCGGACCCCTGGGTGCCCCTCGGTTCCTGAGTCCCTCCTGTGGGGCTTCCCTGAACCCATGGGTGGTCCCCCCGGGCTCCTGGGTCCCCTCCTGGGGCTTCTGGGTGCCCCCTGATTCCTGGGTGCCTCCTTATGGGGCTTCCCCCAACCCCTGGGTGCCCCCCTTGGACCCCTGGGTGCCCCTCAGTTCCTGGGTCCCTCCTTACAGGGCTTCCCCGGGCTCCTGGGTGCCCCCTCCGGGCTCCTGGTTCCCTTCCCGGGACCCCTGGGTGCCCCCCCTGGCTCCTGAGTCCCCCCAAATTCCTGGGTGCCTCCTTATGGAGCTTCCCCAGGACCCCTGGGTGCCCTCCCCCGGCTCCTAGGTGCCCCCCCAGGTGCCTGGGTGCCCCCCAGATTCCTGGGTGCCTCCTTATGGGGCTTCCCTGAACCCATGGGTGCCCCCCCCCGGGCTCCTGGGTCCCTTCCCCGGGCTCCTGGGTGCCCCCCTGGCCACTGGGTCCCTTCTGGGCGATTGGGGGGGGTCCCGGACGCTTGGGTCCCTTAGGGTGGGGGATGGGGTGGGGGCCTCCCGGAGGCCTGGGTGCCCCCCCCGGGGCTGAGGGTGCTCCCTTCCCCCGCAGCGGGTGCGACAACTGCAACGAGTGGTTCCACGGCGACTGCATCAACATCACCGAGAAGATGGCGAAGGCCATACGGGAGTGGTACTGCCTGCAGTGCCGGGGTGAGCCACCCCCTTCGGGGGGTCCCCAACGCCCGCGCCCCTTTTTGGGGGGCTCCTGGGCGCCTGCGCCCCTTTTTGGGGGGGTCCCAAATTCTTGGGCCCCTTTTTGGGGGGTCCTGGGCACCTGGATCCCTTTTGGGAGGGTCCTGGACTGCGGGGTCCCCCTGACTCCCTCCCCTCCCCCAGAGAAGGATCCCACCCTGGAAATCCGGTACCGGCACAAGAAATGGCGGGAAAAGGAACGGGAACACGAGAGCGTCAAGGCCCAGGAGCTGGCGTTG